ATATGCAACAAACGCTTACTTGCAAACCCATATAATTCAATTGCTGTCAATTGACGAGTAAATCCTACCTCGTTAATGCTCCTGAATGATCCCAGTATTCCAATTTTCCACTAGAACTCCAGCCCGCGGGTCCAGGCGAGCAGCTGGAACTCTGTAGGGAGTAAGCGGCGATCAGGGGCAAATACCCCTCACATTTGATTGTCATCTGGTTGCAAGTTTCTTGCTGTGAATGGGGGTTGTTTGGCCCCAAAGGGTTCGGGAGCAAGCTGCATGGGTTATGGATCCAATTGACGGGAGGATTCAAGTCAAGAGGATCACTGATGATATTTTGCGTCCTTGAATGCACCACCGTGGAATTCGCAGGGCATAAATTGGGTAGCTGAGGTGGAACGGCTGACCACGAAGGGCGGGTCTGAAAATGGCCTTGGCAGGGCAGCTGAGATGCCGCCGCTTCTGCGGGATAATTTTCACTTAAGAACATCGCTGACTGTGCCTGAAACTGATGTTCATCTGGCGGTTGAAAGGCGCGCCAGCCGTCACGAGGAAGGAACATTTCGTTGCCATTTACCGAGTTTACTGTACCGAATGCTGGCGGTATTATAGGCGGGTGGTATATACGAGTACAATTTTTAGCAGGTAAATCATCCGGCAGCATTTTTACGTCTCTTTGAGGTGACACTTTATTGTTTGTTGGCATCCAATCGGAATCTCCTGGCGGACCACATCTTTCGACAGAAGAGTTACCTTCCAAGTTTAAAAAGCTCGGATGTGTCGCCATAGAGACTCTAGGTCTTCGCGAGGACAGGCCAGAAGTGGAGCTTGATCGACTGTGCGCGCAGGTATTGCTTTTGAACATTTCTGATCAAATTCGGTGCTCAGCGGTTTTCTATTCAATAGTGGTCAAAGATCGGCAGGAGTCGAAACAAATAACTTACTTTCTTGAATAAAGTAACTACTAGATTGATAACGATTGTTGGATAATTGATATTTATTGTGTTGATGTCTCGTTCTAGTCATGCACTCAAGTCTTCAAAACGACGCCGATGTTCGACTCTTAGAGCGACTTACAGACGTCAAGGAAGCGATATCCTCCGATTCAACAATATGGTCGTTCTAAAGCGGCGAACTGGAACAGAATAAAAGTAAGAATTAGCCCGAGCGCAAATTTACAAAATTAATAACGTAACACAACCTAAAAAAATCGCTTCTGCTATATTCAGTCAACGACTGGATAGCTTGGAGAACGAACATTTATCATGTACTAAGTACCGAATATAATTTTAGTGGTACTGCAACAATACTTACGTTTTCCAAAAGAAAAAATTAAACAACATCAATCATGGAAGGGCATCAAACAGCGCTATCATTGATTAAATTAAAGCTATATAGCTGGATAGTGACAACTAGATTTAGAACCGATGAAAATATGATCAGTCAGTTTATGGACACTTAACTCCCGGCCATAAACTGACTTTTCCCCTCAATAGCAACTGCCAATTTTGAAAATGCAGTTACAGTTTAGTTAAGGACTGTGTTTACTTTGCCGTAGGTATAGTGGAAAATAAAGAATGACTGAAAATGACTTGCGACTCAAGTTTCGGAGCCTTTCTGTAATGTAAAAACCAACCCACATTTAGGAATAGTAATAATGAGAGTTTGCGCAAAAAAGAGAGTTTATTATTAATTAATTAATTAAAGTAATTAAAGAGTTAGCATAAAAAATCTGATTATTTTGCGCTACGTCGTACGATGATAATGAATCAATACTTTGAGATCAAGTAACGAATCTAATTCGTTATTTGTAAGTCATTTTAGTTTGCCCGTAAAATCACGGGTGCGGGTCCGCTGAAAAATTCATCAAAACTTTTATTCGCTACAGCTAAAAAATAAGGATAAAATAATATTTTTATTATCAGTGAAATTAGAAATTGGCAATGAACCATAGAAATGGCAGTATAAAAAAAATATTCTGCACCCATCATCTACTCAAATGACTGCCCGAGGAATGGCGAACCCGCCTGGCACTGCAGGAGCGACCAACCACAGAGCAAGAAATTGGTGTAGTCTGGAGACGTCATGTAATATAGCGGTTTCAGCGTTTATTAGGCCGTAGGCCTGTCGTCGATTTTTAACATCGCAGAACATTCACAGCATTTTGCGGTCTCGAACTCGCAACTCACTACTACAATTCTGCTGTGCTCAACCGCCCGGCCTCGCCTAACAGAGCTGGGATCGAACCCGCAACTCTGCTCCGATCTTGATACTCTGAACTGTAACCACTGGGCCACCCTGCCCCATGCACACATCGGAGGCGTTCAACCAAGATTGTATCTCCGCGAGTGCCCGAAATCATTCCCAATCGCACGCTAGGAGCAACCTACCTAATACCTTTTCGGGCTGGACTCGTATTCCCATTAAGTGGTATTTACGAATCATCACGACAAAACTTATGCCGTGCATGACTAAGACCCTACGAACTTGCAAACTAAACTCATCAAGATGCTGATTGAAAAAAAAAAATAAACAGCCGATTAAGTAGGCGACTGAGATCTATTTAAAAGTCTGTTTGAAATATTTTTCACCCATGTGAAAAATATTTGTCAAGTGGAAACACGGACTAGATCACCTTATTTAATTTTACATTGCCTGTCGCCTGCTACAAGAACTGCACTTGGTGGAAGGAACGTGTGGCTTAACCTGTTTACCATATCCTATCAGTTCATACACGAGTAAATAATTTGAGAAATGAAACGACTACGTACTAGTGAATAAGTCTAATGTTAGACTTTAGCGAACTAACGGTTCTAAATTTATTAACACTAAGAACTGATTTCTAATTAAAACCTTGCTAGCATCGGAGATCATATCCCCGAAATTAAATGAGAATAGAAATTTTGCTTTAATCGCTGCATAAACTAATTAATTGTTCCAGCTACCGTTATAAATGCTGGTTACCTCACTACAGCACCTTAGACATAGTAAGCCTGTCCTTAGACGCCGGACTTCAGTAGAAATTATTTTATGAACAAACAAGCACATCCTTTTCGTGTGATTTAAACAGCTTCGTAGTTATCACGTGGTTATCGAACCCTACAAATCATAGTTGTGACAAGGATTACGCGGTTTTTAGTGATGAGTAAGTGGCGACATAAGTGCATCATCTACAGAGAAACTTAACCTATGTATCATTGAACGAAGATTTATATCTGGATATTTCGTTAGTTTTGTATTTGCGTTTGACCATGGGCTTACCGACGAAAAGATCATGAACCGACATCCGGTGAAAGAAGACAGCTCAGTTCCTCGCAATCTTCAAACAATTCCCAAGCTTCCGATTGGATTAGCTATTCCGCAGGTGGAAACGGGATTGAATATTACAATAGCGAATAGCCGAATACCTACATTACATTCAGTAGAAATTAGGCTCTTAGTTGCCTTTAATGTACAGAATCTTGCGCACAAATTTACGGTACCGGTAACGTGGTGGCGTTAATACCTTTAGTTTGTCCCTCTTAAGGCATGCAAATGATAAAAAAAAACACGGTCAATTCCGTGCATTACTCACCCACTCAGTCGCTCCAGATTCGATTTGCCAGATTGGAAATTATAGAAACACCACAATAGAAGGTAGGCTAGTTGAGAAAATATGCCCCGAACATTCAAATGATTCGGGTTTCCAACTTTCATACGTACGGCGAAAATAAAATTAAATATAAAGGAACAGCAATCATATTAAGATTGAACAATACAAGAATTCTTCAGTATTCATTCACTGAAGGCCGGCCCAGTAAATAGGCTACCTGCGAAAACTGAAACAAATAACGCCTGGATTTTCCATTTGATTCCTGTAATTGAACTAGAAACCAAGTCGTTCACGTAGACCAGCGTTGTAATGTCACAAGCTGCCACTGTTAGCTATATCATCACCAGCAACCTACTCACGCACAACCAAACCAACTTCGACTGTGTCTCTCGAGTCGCGGCCCAGGCTCGACGCTCGCTATACGCTAGTCGTCTATCCGAGCTACTATAGCGCCACAGTTCACAAAACTTTTAACTCACATTTATTGTAGACAAAAACTTACCCTAAGATTTTCAAGGTTGAAAATTCTCAAAGTGTACACTTCATATACTCTAATGTGGAAGGCGAGATCGTTGCTTAGGTATTGAATTATCTCTTGGAAATTTAAACCTAATCGTCAGCAGCAGAGCATGTTATTCGTATGGTCCTTCATAACATGGGTGCCTGCAACTTGGTATTGATACGCCGTGGAAGAGAAAATTGATACGTCATGCAAATATCTATCACACGGTATGGATTAACCCAACCAAAAATTTATTCGGAATATTGGTCCTTCAAATTACGCAAATTTAAATAGAAGAGCTGAGCTAGGACGATAGTAATTTCGGTTAGGTTAGACATCATGCAGGTCAAGATGGAAATACTTGGCGCTTTGCTTTAGACCTGGATGTAATAAATTAATGTCCTGACTAACATTTACTCTTAAATTTGGAAGAATTTAAACAACCAATTTGTAGTAAGTTATATAATAAATTGAAACATGTTAGTCATATCGGTAGCGTTTACGTTGCTCATTCACTTAGCGGCGCGTTAATTAGTTTCCTATTTTGGGTGGCTTTCCACGTGAAGGTTACCGGCCAAGTGGGCGCGACAAAGATAGTAATATCAAAAGTAACAATGAGTTGCCTGCGTCGAGAATTGCGTAACGATAAATAAAATATTTTTGAGGTAGTATGCTTTATTCACAACTTTTAAATGCAGATTCAAAGTAAACCATTCTTTTAAGATAGGACATTCATAAACGCAAAATCGTACAATACGAGTACAAGTGGACAGTATGATAGGAAAAAATATTTTCATTTAGGGAGCAAGATGGATCATCTTTAGGGGAAAGTAAATTAGAGTTACCGTATGTCGATGAAAAATTGTAATAATAATAATAATAATATAATAAATAATAATAATAATAAATAATAAAAATTGTAATATAAAGATAATAATCAAGGAAATTAAATTTTATTTCCAACACCTGAAGAACCGATGCGAGCAATTCAACTAACAGAACCGTCAGAAGCATCAATGCTTCTTCGACCTCCTGCGAGACGAATGCTTGACTCTATCAGACACGGGAAGGATGGCGGGACCAGTTCGAACATGAATACTCCTTTCACTCTCAGAAACATGAATATTCCTTGGAGTGTTAACAAAAAAAAATAATATCTCTGTCAGCAAAAGAATATTAGAATAATAATGTCGCTGTCAGCAAAATAATAAGTGTCACTGTTATAGGTGATCAGTCGTGCACAGAAATATTCAGGTCACTATGATGCATGGAAATACTCGCTTGGAGGTGCACCCATTCCACTATCAGCCACATGAAGGGCAGGCTTGGCCGTCGGCAACTGAAGCACTTGCCGCACTGTCTTCAGCGGAAACACTCGCATCGGTCACGGGAATAACGGCTAGGTCGCTGGTATTTGAAATACTCGCCTCGCTCTCAACAATCGGGATTCTCGTTTCACGAACAGCATCGCAAATGGCAGAGCCCCTGCTAAAGCAGGCGGAGCTTGTGCCATCAGAAGTATCTGTGTTCAGTTCAGGGAGCTCGTTGCACTCCGAGGCTTCTGGATCGCCAATAGAATATTGGGGGTTGGAATTATTTGTTGCGTTGCCCAGTAAAATAGGTAATGTAAGGGAATTATCACGAGAGATGGGATCGTCAGTTTTCTGGCAATTAACCAAGGAACACACTAATTCAGTTATTTTATGGTTGGAAGAATCGAGAGTTACAGCATCGTTTACAAAGTTGACTGGTGGATTGTTGTCGGGTTTCCGCGCGGCAGAATTGAAAGTTTCAGCATCGCTTACAGAATCAACTTCTACATTATTGTCGGTTTCCCGAGCAGCAGAATAGCGAGTTTCGGGACCGTTAACCAAGTCGACTCCTGAAATGTTTGTTTTCTGAGCGACACAATCATGCATCTCAGTACCATTTACCAAGTCGAATTCTAGAATTTCAGTTTTCCGAGCGGAAGAATCTCGAGTTTCAGCACCGTTCACAGAGTCGACGCTCAAGTTGTTTGTTATTTGCATCTGTAAATCTTGTGAGTCACTGTTCAAGAAGTCGACAGGTGAGCAGATGTTTTCATCAGAATCATCAGTGTTATTGAGGCCGTTGAAACTCGTGACATGAATGGTGTCACCCCGGTCTGTTTCTCCCAATGCAGAGTACATCTCAGAGTTGCCGATCTCGTGGTTTACAATCTCATCACGAGTAAAACTTCTATGGTCGACAGTTAAAGGTGACTGTGCGTTAACATCGGTTTCTCTGAATTCTGGATCGGAATGATGAAAAATGTTAACATTTGATGAAAAAATTAGGTTACGTAACGGTACATCATTTCCATCTGCTGGAGAAACGTACTTAAGCGTAGTATTTTCATTTGAAGATGAAACTAACTTCACAATGTTAGTAGAGGCCATCCATGCAGGTTTAGAATTTTCAAAAAGTGATGTTGAATTCACTTTGTCAGCACTAAAAGACGTAGCTAATGTACTTCTGTCATCAGTATTCGCAGCGCTGGAGTGAGAAAAACTTCGGCGGCAGATTCGTCGGAAGTCAGAATCGGAATCTAGATTTCCATGAATATCAGTGGGATCTGATTCAGGCCTATTGGCGTTGAGGCGGCAGCCAGTAGTGGATCTGTAATAATTAGAACGAGTTATAAATTCTTTAGCATTCAGCTAGTAAGTACACTAAAGGGGATATTTTTCATAGTCGTATGAAGAGAATTGCAGGTATACCCCCGCATCAAGATTCGAACTAAGTAAAAAATATCTTGAAATACGTTACGTGTCAAATCGATCCAATCCTTTTGACATTTAGTATGCAACTCACCTGATATTGGGCAAAGATTTGGAGATGTCCGTAGGTTGTTGGCCGATTTCAAAGAGGTTTCGATCGCTTAAACATTCAGCAAGATTTGAAAGCTTTTTCTTCGGGTGAAAAAAATTCAAAAAGGGAATTTTAATTGGAGATTCTTTGCCGGTATTGTTAGGGTTTGAATTTTGAAAGACGCTATTTGAAGGTTTATAGGCTTTGAAATCATAAATATTGTGAATATTATTGGACAGAACTTCATTGCAGGACGAAACCGGGCGGTGAAACCTCGGTTGACTGATCGCAGAATCATGTCGAGTTTCATACAAATTACTTTCGGCTGTTCTCAGGGGATGGAATACATTTCTCGCCAGACGAGGTACACCTACAGTCGCTCCACGTAAATGTGGCACGTGTTTTCCTGATGAGGGGATATCTTCCAATCTTGAATATTGAGCATCTGTCGCACTCGATAGAAGGAAATCGTTTGCTTTCGTCGGGACGTGAGCATCGGTTCTTGACGGATAGCACTCGGTTCTTGACGGATGGCACTCGGTTCTTGACGGGTGACACTCGGTTCTTGACGGATGGCACTCGGTTCTTGACGGATGACACTCGGTTCTTGACGGATGGCACTCGGTTCTTGACGGATGACACTCGGTTCTTGA